ATTGCAATAAAACGGCAATTTCATACTTTAACCCCTAATATTATATATTTTCATTTGAAAACTAAATTGCGATTAAACGAGAAAATTTGAGTTATAATTATTAATACAAACATCGAACACTTAGAAAAATTCCTTCGATCCGGCCGAATTCCAACCGACGTTTCCTAGCAAACCGTGCCAGACGCTATGCCAACTAAGACACGAAACTACTTTGCTAGGAGATGTCGGTTCGAATCTGGCCGGTTCGAAGGAAAGTGTTCGATCTTTGTATAATTAATAATTATAACAAACCAGGAGTTATTTCACAAAAAAAAATTAATTTATTTAATAATAATTTCCTTGATAGTTTTAGTAAGGCGTGTGATGAAATGAACTGAAATGAAATGAATGTCATCACTGGCATTACCCTGACATTCTATTGAGACTCAATTGCCATTGCAACTACATTTTAGCAGAGTAACAAATATTGTCATAATTGCAATATAATTTCAATGGAATTACAAAGACCTGTATATGTAAAATTCACTCTCGCATTGAAAAGGCCCAACTTAAAACGTTCAGGGAATAAGTCTGCAGGCAGGGAGTTCCAATCTATAGCCGTGCGCCATATGAATGTGGAAGCGTAACGCTTCGTGCGAATCTTTGGAATATCCACGACATAGGGGTGGAACCCAAGCCTACTTCTAGTTCCCGAGTGATGGAAAGGCGCAATTTAATCGTGTAATTCCATCGCACACTCTCCGTGATATACTTGTAGAATACCGATAAGCAGGCAACTCTGCGGCGGTGTTTGTTCAATCCTAGTATCAATAAATACAATGCAATATTTCAGTGGGAGGTATAATCCACTCTGTGTATTACTTCCTTGAAATTTAGACAAATATACTCATTATCACAGTTCATCATTTTGAACCCACTTCAACCCTCTGCTGGGTATAGGGCCTCTTCTTTATTGCGCCAATTTTTACGGTCATGTGCCATCCGCATCCAGTGCGATCCTCCAAATCTGACGATATTGGCAGACCACCTGCCCACCGGCCTTTTTACTTTTCTTGACCACCATTCTGTGACTGTTTTCCATCGTCCATCGTCCGTCTTCTCGTCTAACCAAATAATCACAATTACTAATAACCAATGGTCGGAATAGGCTGTTCCAAATGAATAGATAAATATCTATATATAGATACAAGGAGTAACATGGGGTGGTTAAAACCACCAAATATTTACTAATTACTTTTTTCAAATTCATGATGAAGTTTAATGAAAATCGTAGATAACTATATATAGTAGTAAATATAAATATTGTTCGCCGGTTCTTAAACCTGAGTCCCTGGCCCCGGCGGACATTGCCATTGCCGGGGAATACCCATTTAAAAATACAAAATTAATCTTTTAGACCTTGGGAGAGGCGAGAGTCTGAAATAGATGACTGCCTCCGTGGCCGAACCGTGGTCTTAGGTTCGATTCCCAGGCTGGGAGAAATATTTCTACGGCCTACATTTATTTCTCTCATGAGTTTGGGTGTAATTTGTGGTTGTCTTATGTGTGTGTCTATGATACCCGCGACAAAGGGTGTCCCTAGTGCGGGGCTATGTTGAGTGTGTGCGTTATTATTATTATAGATATCCGAAATAATAAGTATCCGGATTAGTTAAAATAAGCTTTTGATTATAGCTCAAAAAATGTTTACGTTGGTGAAAGGTTTATATAGAATCTACTACATTTTTTTACATGGTGCCCCTAGAATTACTTTAAAATGCAACTTCAGCTTCCTAGTTGAGTAGTTTTATCTACAATGTAGTAAAACAATATCGAGAAATCTGGACTTAAGAAAAAAGTTATTTATATTTAGTGATTTTAACTACTCTATATCACTCCTTGTATCTATATGTAGACATTTATCTACTCATTTGGAATACCCTATTCTGACCATTGCTAATCATATAATAACTAACTTTTTTGTTCCCAGGCGACATTCTAGTAGCCGACGAACTGGGCTATCTGTATTTCCGCGACCGCACTGGTGACACCTTCCGTTGGCGCGGCGAGAATGTCAGCACCACTGAGGTGGAGGCCGCCATATCCAAGATCACCAATCATAGAGATGCTGTTGTCTATGGTGTACTAGTAAGTTCCATAATGTATATCGAGTTAGGTTTTCGCGTTTGTAACATATAGGAAATGAAACTATTTTTTCGGATATAAAACGCGACACGTAAAGTCCCCGAAACGTTGGATTGTTTAAAAAAATGCGCAATTTTGATCCGAAAATATAGTTTTATTTCCATAATGTAACTGTAATATATAACTATGATTTTGACAACAAATTTCACTGTTCGAAGAGACACCTATTTTTGCAGTCAAGCAGTAATGTCAGCATTACTGTGTTCCGGTTTTGAAGGGTAAGGGTGCTGGTGAAATTACAGGCACATGGGACTTGTCAACTTATGTCTCAGGGTGACGAGCGCAGTGGCAGTGCCCTTTGAGCTGCACTGCAACTGTTATGGACGGGCGTGTCACAGTACTGTAACTGCTTTGTTCCATCGTCCATCCTCTCATCTAGCCAAATAATCACATTCATTCCCAGTAGTTCTATGTACTCAGTTCCACATGGCACAACTGTAAACCAAAAGTTCCATGCATTAAACTAGTGGGAATAAATTTAATTGTTCACAATTACTAACAACCTTGTAATTTCAATTTAAATTCAAATATTGTAATTTCTTTAGCAAATTATTTATTTATTGAATGTCATGATTCTTTATTACCATGATTTTCGATTTTTGTGAAAATACTCTACTGGTTTGTTATTGTTATTCATACTCACTCGATCTATCTGGATTCGGATCACTAGTCTTTTAATAGTAATAACTCAGCTGGTGAAAAGCGGTGGCCCGGGCATGGCAACAGACGCTGGTTCGAGTCCAGTCAGACCGAAGGAATTTTTGTTATGTTTGATCTTTGTATCAATAAAAGTTTGAGACCCAAATCACAAGCTCTACTTAGTTTTGGCTCTAGTCTCCCAGAATACATTACTCTAAGCTTATATAATAATATGTATATAGGATTTTCCGAAAAGGACATAACAATTTTGTATTTTAATAGAACATAATAATTGAGACTGCAGTGATTGTGCGCAGGAACTTTTCACATTGGTTCCACCTTCGGTTAACAAGGTCCGGAACACTCCATTCTAACTTAACTGCCTCCGTGGCCGAACGGTTACCATGCCGCACTGACACGCAGAGGTCCCAGGTTCGATTCCCGGGCCGGGAGAAATATTTGTATGGCCTACATTTAGTTCTCTCGTGAGTTTGGGTGTAATTTGTGGTTGTCTATATGTGTGTCCATGGCACCCGCGACACAGGGTTTCCCTAATGTGTGCGTTAAAAAAGAAAAAACTAATCTATTAACTATTTTGTCGTTGATATACCACCACTAAGCATTTGCACTAAGCGCTTTGCTTCCTCCTTTTCCAATGCGTACGGCAAAGGAATGGAATACTCTACCGGTATCTGTGTTTCCCGAAAAGTACAATATTCAAGCCTAGATATATATAGGTATTTTTTAGGCAAACGCGTACCATCGTCGGTCACATCGTCGCTTAACATCAGGTGAGATTGTGGCCAAGCGTGTGTCTATTATTTATAAAGACATCGATGAAATTTATTCCAGATGCAGTACACATGTTATATTTAAGTATGGAACTCGACTTCGTTCATATGACCACCGCGAGCACGGTTGCAGCGATCATAGAGCCGGACAAACAATCGATTCATTGAAGAGAAACTTCGAGAATCGTCTAATCTCGCGAAATGGTCCGGTCGAATGGCCACCTTCCTCGTGCGATCTAACGCCGTTGGATTACATTAAGTCGTTGGTTTGTACCAACAAGCCAACAACGTTAAATGAACTCAGAAACTATAACAAACGCGGAAGTGTGGTGGAAAATTGGCTTTAAAGAATTGAACGCGGCAAAAGTGCTCGTGGCGGTCATATGAACTAGATCGAATTCCATCCTTAAATGTAACATGTGTACTGCACCTGAAAATTGAATTACAAAATTATTATGTTCCTATTGATAAACTCGTAAAATAAATATATCTACTATAATGTTTCTTTGTTTTGTATTGTGGAGGTAAGTAAAGATATAATTATTTATTATTATACTATCATATTTGGTAAGAAAAGAGGTTTATTTCGTACGTGTAATTTTAATGTCATATTTCGAACTCGTCACTTCATTATTAAGGGCGCGATTAGTTGATAACCGCATATAAGTGGAACAGTGAATCAAAATGCACATACTTTGAAACCTTGCATCCTTTGTCAAGGGTACAGCGACACATTTAAAGCGCGTGAGTAACATACTACGCTTCGCAGATCATCGACCTTCGTACCCTTTGCGTTATCATGTTATTATTGCGTTACAATTTTTTACACATCGTTCGAGACAAAACGTTTATTGTGACATTTTATACCGGTCATTGTGTTAGGATGTTGACACCCCTCTTACATTCGTTCCACGTCCACAGTTACTTATCTATAGTATACTTATACTATACTTATGTATAGTATACTTTCTATATAACAAAACTTGTTACTTCATGTCGACTTTGGAGATTATAGGGGCGTTAATGGTTTAACATTACAAAAGCATATCGACAAAAAAATAAAAAACTGTTACGGCTCATTAAAGTCCATTTATGAACTTAGACCTTTTCTGACTAAAGAGGTAAAACAGCGATTGGTAGATAGGTAGTGGTCTCTTAACGTAATTATGGAGGGGCCTTGCATACATGTAAAAGTCGAAAAGAAAATTCAAAAAGTCCAAAATTCATGTATTAGGTACTGTTATGAGGTTCCTCCTCGCGCACACATTACTCCATATCTTAATACATTTAATATTTTAAGTATGATAAACCGCAGAGTTTTCAAATTAACACATTCGTTTATAATTTGCGGGAGTCCTGTACTCCTGCCCACCTGGCTAAAAAATTAAATTGGAACTTGGAATAGGGACTGTAGCAATATATTGTCGATACTGTTTCCTTCTTTACAGATATCACCACCTGCTAGAAGAACGGTTTACCGCGGTAGCTTTAAATTCGCCTTTTTTTTCCTCCTCCAATAAGAAACTCAAAGTCGTCTTGCATTTTCAAAAGTAAATGCAAGCTTTGGCTACTTTCGAGGCAATGATCGGCAAGTAAATGGATGTATCTTACATTCTTATATTTTTATTTTTATTTTTAGGAGTACCTAAAAATAAAAATATAAGAATGTAAATTGAAGTTTATGAACTACTGTTCATCCCTGCCTAAACTTCAAATTGGAGTATTTTGAAATGGAATGTTTTATTTAACACTGGTAACATCATGACAATAGGATTATAAGTTTAAGTTTAAGTGATATGTGTATATTTATAGTTAAGTGATAATTTTTTGGAGCTACTCGAGACGCGTCATACAACTACTGTCATTGGAATGTAGCGAGTTTCTTCAAAAAGGTAGGGTTTGAAAAACAGCTTAAGCGAGACTCTTTCCTTTTTATCTACACAATATATGTAACTATAGATGATTTTAATAAAGACTAAATTGTTATGCAAATGTAGATAAATAAAGCTCTTTATTATTATTATAAATTTGAAGCCTTTGGCTGTATATTTGTCTATCTATGGCCTCGTAGCTTACAAAAGGATGGACTTATCTCAGAGCAGTTTTTTTTATTTGGATGCCAATTTGATCGGGATGGTTCTTAGCTATATTTGTAGTATTTGAACATCATCAACGCTTTTTTCAGTTAGTGTAATATCTCAGTCATAAGATGAATATTTTACTTCCTCTTGTCCGATCGACTTGAAATTTGTTATACTACGGAAATCCTATGTTTCAATAATAATAATAATAATAATAATACTTTATTTCGGACCAAATTAATCAACCATAGTTAGTAAAGAACTTAGGAATAAAGTTAGTATGATACAAGTCAAATATTAAAATTAAAATATGATAAAATTGCTTTTTATATTTAAGTGCGTGAAGGCCACGATTCAAACTTAAAATAAATAAAAATTATAAAATTTAAATTCCAAAAGTATAAAATCATAAAATAAAATTAAAATACTATCACAAAATAAGTTTAAGATTTAAGATTAAGGTTTGAAAATTACATGAAATATAAAATTGAAATTGATTATCACGTATGAGGTATCGTACAATTTTGGACTCTATTATATTATTAATTTATAGTATCAGACATATTTTTGCTTTGCGCGCTTTGTGAAAAGATAGCTCATCTCATGTCCTGCGGGGTTGTCAACTTGAACTAGTTGCGCCTTGGTTTAATTGACAATCAATGTCATCAAATCGTGAGACAACACGCGTGCGGATACACTTAGCGGACGCTATTGTATTACATAGGCATCATCTAGTTGAACGTTTTTCGTCTACATCTTCACGTCGCTATCAGGTGAAATTGTGGATATACGTGATTGCACTTATGACTGAATTAATGGATTTATTTCCTGTTTATAATTGACGCTTTTGTACATTGCAAAATGTCAATTTAAAGGACAGCCTCGCAATAGATACGAAACATACGAAGTGTGTTACATAAATAAAGCCTCATTCTCATGGTGGGTACGCTTTCTTTATCGATAAGTGAAAGTACTGTCCTTAAGAGACGTTATCAATTCATAAGTAGGTAACATCGTCAAACGTAAACAGAATAAATAATATTGTTGAAGCGAAAAGATAGTGTGTGCCCGATATAAAAGTTATCAGTTTAACAATAAATTGTACATCCGACCACGTTAGGGCGCGTTCCCACTATATCGTCACGTTTTATTATCGTCGGACGACTGTCGTGACTAGCTGTTCCCACTAGATCGTGACGACAATTTATCGTTTCACGACAGCCTCCTTGACGTTTGCACGACAGAATCGTTTGATGCACTGCAATCGCTTGTATGTTCTTTTGGAAGCAGTTAGTGTGTGTTCGCTCCAAATGGATGAAGACGAAATTTTAATAATGTATTACTTTTTAAAAATGCGGAAGAGGAAGCAAACAAAGAAAAGAAAGTTTTGGGTACATCCAGTGCTACTAAAATTAATTCCATTAGGGTTATGTCAAACGTTTATTAATGAACTGAAAAGTGATGATAGAAAATTTTGGGACTATTCAAGAATGACAATTTCCACATTTAATAGTCTATTAACACGACTTGGACAGCACATTACAAAAAAAAAACACAATGTATAATTAAATTTGAACAAAACTCAATTCACAACAAATATTTAGACGTAACTTGTTTTTCCCCCTCGATTTCGGGTTTTAACCCGATTTAAACCCGGTGTTAACAAAGCGCCGGGTTAAAACCCGGGCGCTTGCCCATTTCTGGCTACGACGCAACAATACCGCAAAGCGAGCAGAGGGCGCGGGGTAAGAGGGGAGGGCAGGGCGCAGACTACGTGCGGACAGCAATAAATAAAACGTGACGACAATAGGAACTGCGACAATCTGTCGTCACGTTTTTGTCGTGACGTTTTTTTATTGTCTGACGACTGTCGTTCTAGCTGTTCCAACTGTGACGACAGTTTGTCGTTGTAACGATAAAAAATCGTGAACGACAGTTAATCGTGTCGTGCTATATGTGAACAACTTCATTTATATATACAAGCCACGACACTGTAAACTACACGACAATCTGTCGTCACGACATAGTGGGAACGCGCCCTTAGCATGTTATACGTGTGGCGCACTATAAGTTTCTTGAATGAATAAAAAAAAATACTATAAATGATTACAAAATGAATTTATTGTTTCTCAAAATATTCTCCGCTAGCGTTTATGCACTTTTTCTTACGAATGAACCAATTTTGAAAACATTTATGTCACTCGTCCGTGACAATCTCTGAAACATATTTTTCATACTCTTCAGGCTCTTGATGAAAATCGTTGACCGCGTAACTGGTTCTTAATTTTTGGAAATAAATAAAAGTCACAAGGCCAGGTCGGGACTGTACGCGGTATTGCTCATAAGGTTGTTCACCTTCAAAAATTCATTTGTCTGTCTGGCCGTGTGAGAACTGGCATTATTGTGGTGCAAGATGATATGGCGTTTACGGTTATTTTTACGGAGTTTGTTAATAACTTCCGGCAAACAAATGGTCGTGTACCAATTACTATTCACGGTACAACGATTCTTCAAAGCAACAGTAGCCACGTGTCCAGTTTTATTAAAAAAAGAAGCAATCATCCGCTTAAAGGCACTTTCCACGTGCGCTACTTTGGTTGGTTCCGGCTCATCTCGAAAGACCCATACACTCGATTACTGCTTTATTTTGGGATCGTAACTATAAATCCATGTTTCGTCACCTGTTACTATGTCCCACACCAAATTTGACGCCCCTTCATTGAATCTGGTAAGCATGGTATTGCACCAAGTGACGCGATCCGTTTTTTGAGCCTCGGTCAAATTGTGTGGGATCCACCGAGAGCACAGCTTTTTCACACCCAAATGTTTGTGTAGTTATTGATTATATGTCACTCATGCCTATGCCTAAAGATGCCCGAATGTCAAGGTATGTCACATGCCTGTCTGTTTTGACCATACGGCGCACAGCATCGATGTTTTTGTTGTTCACAGCAGTGGACGGGCGACCATCACGAAATTCCTCACTGAGATTCACACGACCGTTTGAATTCTGCAAATCAGCTATAAATAGTCGTCTTGCATTGTGCTTCATCGCCAAAAGCAGTTTGAAGCCGAGCGAAACTCCGCTCAGCTGTTAAATTACACTTGTTGTAGAAAATCATACTACAAAAATTTTCACGAGTTAAATCCATGGTGATGTAGACAACCAATTTCTAAAGTGACGCCACAATGTAAAATCAAGTGCAGTCAGATGAAAGAAACTGTATTCTACAGCCAAAGAGTTCCATTTTCAAATGTTGTAATTATTTTTTTAAATATTCTTTATGTAAGTGGCCACTTCCGGAAACTTATAGTGCACCTTGTGTAGTCCCAAAACAAATGACGTTGTTTTGCGAAAAGGTTTTGAGTCATTATTCTCGCAACGCGAATTTATGATAGCTTTGCAAGAAGATGCTGTGATGTATCCATCTCATCATCTCCGTGTCATAAGTCTCGATTACTGTCGGAACCGATGTTGCCAAAACGCACACAAAGTGATAAACACTATGAAATCCTAATAATGGTTGGTCATAGTTTGTAAAGATGTAGCACATTCTGGATTGTGAATATAATTTAAACTTTACCCAGTCTATATATCGCTGAAAGTTCAATACTATTTTTGCAAGTTACGACGTTTTGATTTTATATTGAAATTTTATTTAACATGCTGCCATCTTGGGGCCAGTAGCTGGACTACGACGAACGTCGGGCATGTCATTAGATTAAGCTCTACTGCATACGCAGTCCTTAGAGTACGTGTGCTTACAGATGTTGCTACTGCTAGACTAGTTTAGTTACTTCCATGGTATAATATCCTACGGGATTTTCATATGGAGTAAAGCGACAGAGTGATTCGTTCTGTGTACGGTTTAGGTTCTCGGATTACTCTCAGAGACAAGTTTAAGCAGAGTGGTATGATGACTGTGGCATCAGTACATTTACTCAAATATTTTGTACGCCCATAAAATATACATAATTCCGTTAAGGAAGAAAGAGTCTAAAGTCACGGTACCACGATTTCGTCTCGCTATGGTATTGGTAGGTCAAAGAAGGTAAACGATTATTTTATGGGGAACTGTATACATTTTAACAATAATATTCCGTAGCATATGATTCAAAATGTATTCTATCTATAAGTTTATTTGAAAAAACGCAATCCCTAGAGTTTCTTGCTCGTTCTTCTCAGGGAGGCCAGTGTAGTGAACGAGCAATAGCTTAAAAAATGTAAACGTTTTCAAGTGCAAAAATTGTACCTATGGAATAAACGATTATTTGACTTCGACTCATAAGGGTAAAGAAACGATTCGTGTATACTTTGTTCCTGATATGTGAGCAAAATTAGATTTTCCTCTTCTCTTACTAATACAATATTTTTACATCTGAATTATAAAATGGATGACCGGGTTGAGGTTTCACTCGAGGTTTCATCTTGAAACAGTTGGGCGTATCAAAAATAGCTCAGAACTGTCCCAATTTTAGTAGCATTAGAGCTCCTTGTAAGATAGTTCGTCCAGGGTAGTACTGCCGCCTTACCTATTTTTGCCGCCACGCAATAATGTGAGCATGACTCCGTTCCGGTTTCGAAGGGCTGATGAAATTACAGGCACATGGGACTTGTCACCGTATGTCTCAGGGTGTCGGGCGCAGTGGCAGTACCCCTCAGATCTGTCATTTAAAGCACTGAGTGGCGCTGCAACTGTTAGGGACAGGCGTGTCGGGATTTTTTATTATAATACAGGACTTAGTATTATAATAAAAATCCCAATTGAACCAACCAAAAAAAAAAAAATTATTTGAGATCATATCCGTTTAGGAGTTACATTGCCAAACATAGATATATACAGATACACACTGAAAGATAAAAACTTCAAATTTATAACACCCATTTTTGCGTCAGGGGTTAAAAATAAAGCTTTTGCCACCGGAATTTACGTATAATCTTTATCGACCCTTCATGGTTTAAACGGGAAATCCGTGAAAATTTCTTCGGACTTGAAATTTCTTTCGACGTCTTGGAATCGGCTGCCTAAATGAAATTTCTAAAGTAGGCCTGGGTTATATTTTTACAGAAATTAACTACGAGTAACATTTTTTTTTTATATTGTATCGTATCTATAAATGTGATCATTAAACAGAAAAGAAAGAATCAAAGAATTAGAAATTGAAGTGCGCCTGTTTATTGTTAATTAAATGCTAAATGAATCGTTCTTTTCCTTTTTGGCTTCAAAGCATGTATATTTTTGGCATTGGTTCAAGACTTCCAGTCTCTGTCTGGATTGTTAGGTTTGTCAGATAGCGTTGATACAAAATCTTCTAATGGAAATGCTATTTAAGACATACAAAATCATTATTAACTTCGAACTCAAAGAAAAATTCCTTCGATGTGATAGGATTCGAACCGACGTCTGTGCCATACCAAGGCAACCGCTCTACCAGCTGAGCTACTCGAAGGATTTTTTCTTTGTGTGCGATCGTTGTATTAATATTTATTACAAACTAGTGGAGTAATTTCCCAATAAAAAAATTAGTAACACGGTAGTAAAACGGGTATTCATTGCCATCTATGTATATTATCATATTAATATTCAATATATTATAGTTTATTCACATTGCAAAACGGGGATAAAAGCTATGAAACATTTTAATATTTATTTGTACACGTACCTTACCACAAAGTCGATTCATCACGTAAAAAAATTATATATTAAAATAATCGATTCATCACGTAATTACCACTTCGTAATGTTAGTACCTGAGTGCAATGTGAAAGTTAAAAATGTGTATAGTTTATTTTTATTTAAAAAATCGCTTCTCGAAGATAGTCTTTGGTTGCACCTCTTTTGCAACTCGTAATGTTCTGTCCTGATATTAGTTGGAAGAAATTTATTACTTAAATTACTGATACTTATGGTAATTATTTATGTGCAACAAACAATACTTCCCTCATTTATTGATTACAGGGTTCTCGTTACTTTTGTTCATATGAAAGGCCTTGTTATTTACTTGTACATTGTCATAATTTAAAATTATGTTTGCCCTAGGTTCCGAACGTAGAAGGTAGAGCGGGTATGTGTGGTATAGTGGACACAAACGGAACTTTGGACCTTCACAAGTTGGCAAGGGACCTAGTAAAAGAGTTACCTCCATACGCTAAGCCGGTCTTCTTGAGGATTATGACTAGCATGGATATGACAGGTAAGTTATTTACACAAATTAATGCATTTTACTTGCTTTAGGGAATCACTACTGTTGTCGACGCGGAATCGGCGTAGAGCGCCCGCCCATTGGGCCACTAGTGGCGATCACTAAACGCGACCATTGCGTCTCGTAGACGGACGACATTTTTTATATTATAAATAAATATTTAGCACTTGCAGCGTCTTTTTGACCCATAGTATTTTTTTAAATATGATAATCGTGACCTCTCAAAGTAAATCTAAATGAAAAATAGTTGTATTCATATATGCTATTTTTATGTCTAACGCTGGTTAACACCACTGTAGAATTCAACAAACACAAAACAATAGTGGTTGCGACTGGAGGCTCCTTCGAGTGGCTTGACATATTTTTTGACATTCAATTATTTATATTTTCATTGATACATTCATCAAAAGTGTCTAGGGATAAAGCACATTTTTGCCAAGTACTGAGAATCAGGATTTTTTAAACTATTTTTTTAACAACAATTTTTTTTTTGGGTAAATTTAAAATTTTATAAATAAATAACTAATTTAACACATTTTTAGATATTTTTATTTAATTTTAATAGGGTAATCTAACATTTCAAGAAAGTACCTTGATCCCTAGACACTTTTGATGTGTGTACTTAATGTGTAACTAGCAAAATAATTACTTTACTAGGGAAGTATTTAGAACAGTTTTGTTATTGTAAGTAAAACTATAAATATTGTTTTCTTAATTTTTAACCTTTTGTTTATAAAAATCAGAAGGAGGTATTATCCACTCTATTATTGAAACTTTACCTATTCTGATATCTGATGGTAATAGCACCGTGACCTACCTTAAGAAAACAATTGTAAAAAAATTGTATTCCTTTTTAAAAGACATGCTTTTGTAAAAACAAACACTAATCTAGAGTTTTTATTTTTTTGGGACGTAATGTTATATACATAAGACGTAATTTCCGTTTTTAGCCCACATTTGGCCATACTAGTACGCATAATAATATGGACTGAACAAGATGTATTATTTATGTGTTTATCGCTCTATCGATTATTTAAAGTCATCTAGTTAGTTTTGAGCCCTAAATTGTTGGCGCCTGTATTGATATTTGCTATGAATTTTTATGATTAAAAAATTGTGTAACATTATTATTATAGCCTTTATTGTACGCGACTGCTAGGCAAAATCCTCCCTATTTCCTTCCACTCTTCTATCTTTCCATTGCCATTCAATGTCTGTAAAAATGTTAGTAGCAGTAGAGCTCCTTGTCAAAGAGTTCGTCCAGGGAAGTACTGCTATCTTACCTATTTCTACTGCCAAGCAATGTGAACATTATTACAGCGTTCCGGTTTAGAAGGGTAATAGTGCTGGTCAAATTAGGCACATGGGACTTGTCAAATTACGTCTCAGGGTGACGGGCGCAGTGGCAGTGCCCATAAGATCCTTGCGATTAAAGCTCTGAATAGCACTGCAACTGTTATGGATAGGTCACCTTACCACCAGACGCACAACTGGTTCGTCCCGACACTTGGTATTAGAAAAAAAAGCTGTCTTGTCCTGCCCCCTTCCACTTTAATTAGATTTTTTGTTATTCCGTATTTGGGATTAGGTTAAACAATTTTAGATCCGTTGTATAGAGTAATATGTAAAATGCTAACAACCAGTAGAGCTCCTTGTATAAGAGTTCGTCTAAAGAAGTACTAGACGGGTAAGGGTGCTGATGAAATAGCAAGCACATGGGATGTTCAACTTATGTGTAAGGGAGCTGTGGCAGTGCCCCTCTGATTTTTGCAATTTATAGGCAGATAAACTGTTATGGGCAGGCGTGTCGCTTACTATCAGGCGCATGACTTGTTCGTTCCACACTTAGTATCATAAAAAACAATCTCTCTGGACTATATTACTAAAATCATAAACAACAACTTGGTTCATGACTTTTTACAAACCTAATAAATTTACCAAAAATAAACTGAAGCTTTTGTTGTACTATCTGACTCTTTTTAGACCTGAATTTGATAGTAAGGTAGTAAGTTCAAACGTGTCCTCCTCGAGGACTACCACCCCCAGTTCCTGCGTTTTGCATCGGACTGATATTTGCGTTAGCGCTTTCTATTATTGCCGCACAAAGTTACCTTGCGTTTAAGGCGATCTATTTAAGTATTCATAATTTTCTACCATAGTAATATATGACGAATTATTCAAAGTCATGGAACAAAAGTTATTGTACGTGATATAGTCCTGCAAGGTTGTTAGTATTTTACAAATGCATTGGACGCTGCGAAACTTTGTGTTTTGATTTTATTTAAAATTCCGCAACATATCGAGGTATGAACACGAAACTAATCATTATTTAAAAGAAAAGTAGTCAGCATCTACAAATGTATTTACTGATATCAATATTGTATTCCACAGGTACGTTCAAAATGAAAAAGACTGAGCTACAAAAAGAAGGCTTCAATCCAAATAATGTGAAATATGATCAGATTTACTATTTGGACCCGAAAGCAGGCACGTACTTGCCTGTGGACAACGATGTCTATCGACGAATTTGTAGTGGAGAAATTAGACTGTAAATGTATTTAAGTAAAATGCTTTTTGGCCAAAGGCGGGGTTGAACTTGATGTTATTAGAAAATGAGGATGATAAAATACTTTGGAAAATAGGTGTAGAGAGAGTCTCTGACTTTTATTTATCCTTTGTAGTTATGAAATAAGAACTATAATTAACGTGTCAGTACGACAAGTTGTTCTTACTTTCCCGCTAGCGACATCTGATATCATCTATCTATCTTATTCATAGTCATCGCCTCGTTTCTGGCCTTAAATATGTTTTATAATACTTTTTTACCTGTCATTGTCATATCAGTTTGATACAAACAAGTCTTTAGAATACGTTTCCACTTAACTGAAATCGCCATGGAGCTGATATTTTTTAATTCTCTCATTTATAGCATTTATCGATATGCCAAATATATATATGTTTTTTCCTTTTTATTCTTATTTTATACTCGGGCACAACGTAATATGCGTTCAAACATTTCCAATTAAACGCGGTCAATGACTAAATGAACGAACAATAGTATTGCTTGACACTAGTTTCTTAATAAGAGCAACCAAATTACTCAATCCGTAAAACAAATAACTTAAGGGTTAAGTATATATGACTTCTTGTACACAAGTCCAACGTAGAATTTTCACAAAACAATATAATAAATGCCTTAACATTTTCATTATGTTTGTTTATGAATCGTGTCACATTTTCCATGTGTGTTTTTATAAGAATTGCAAATATACTCTAGGATATAACGTTTTGTCTTCATGCAACACTGTTGCGTCCTTATACACGCTGTATACAATATTCAATATAATATTAATTATTTTTATAGCCTGTATGGATAAGGTGTATGTATGTATTTGTAAATATAACATTCCCCAAAGTTAATGAAAAAATCTTTATGTATTTTTTATAATCTGTAGATCTGATGTAACAAACTGTGCTTTTACTTTTTAAATAATTTATAAATATTGTGCGAATAATTGTACTTAATACATTGACTTACAATTATATGGACGTCGGGTCCGCGCTAAAAAGTGTCCGCACTTATAAGGCGCTAAAATCGTATACAGAGCGCCAAACTCCGCTTTAGTCTTCATTTGTTCGACTGACAGCGCGATACTGCGATGACATTACAATTTAAATTTCGAATAGGTTGACTTGGGACATTTTTTTCGTGGTTTTTGTATTAGACCCGTCGTCCATTTATTTGTATGTCAATGACTTAATAAAAATATCGATAAGTCTTGGTATAAGGGATATTAGTGTGGAAATTTTTGAATTTAATGAAATGAGGTAAACTATCTACACGCATAGAATTTAAAATGGCCTACTATATTATGTAACTGAAAGAGGTGGAATAAGGCATTTAAAGTGGAATAAAGAAGAGACGTTTCAGCAATCATTTATGAGCCTAAGGCCCAGGCCTTACAGTGACCTGTCGATTATTTTGATACCTCTGGTAGTGTGCAGAGGTCCCCAGCTTATCTGTGATGATGACAAAAAGGAGCTAACCCCACACATTGGGTATGTCATATGTTACATTTACAAGCAACAGTCATAGACACAAACAGCTTCACTTATATTATAAGTAAGATAAAATGGTGTCTCGGCTCGATTGATGGCAATGAGCTCGATTTGTGTTGTAAGATTTGAAATATATGGTAACCAAAATCATTTGCCAGTTTTCCCCTGCTTCAGTGTAACATTTTCCATG